AAAAGGGTCTTATTGACAAAAAAGACAAGAATTAATGCTTTGTCATCACCGGAGTTTTAAAAAATACCAAACTGGCAAAAACGTTCGTATAAATATACCAATTTGGATATGTTTGGTACCAAGCATAAATTTTGTGTTTGGTAGTGAGGTGTCATATTCTCATCCACTCATTTTAATTCCCAACCACTCCCCAACCCATGTGAAAGGGGCCCCTGATTTTAATGAGTGGAGGGGAATATGCCACCTCACTATCAAACACAAAAACTTGTGCTTGATACCAAACATACCAATTTATATATATATATTATGGAAAAATAGGTATACTTGGTACTATATATATAGTATATATATATATATATTATATATATATATATATATATATATATATATTATATATATATATATATATATATATATATATTATATATTATATATATATATATATATAGGGAAAAATAGGTATGCTTGGTACCTATATATATATTTATATATTATATATATATATATATAATATATATAAGGTACCAAGCATACCTATTTTTCCATATATATATATATATATATATATATATATATATATATATATATATATATATATATATATATATATATATATATATATATTATATTATATATATATATATTATATATATACTATATATATATATATATATATATATATATATATATATATATATATGAGCAAGACTCTATCAATTAAGTGGATAGGGAATAGTTATCCAGCAAACTTTCTAGCCACTCATTTTTAATATAACAAAAGTCTCTTCATATCATGGCAAGGATCCTAGGCAAGATCATGGATAAAAAGTTTGGTGGACATTATTTCGCTATCCACTTAAGTTGATAGGAGTTTTCACCAATATATATATATATATATATATATATATATATATATATATATATATTATATATATATATATATATATATATATATATATATATATTATATATATATATATATATATATATATATATATATATTATATATATATATATATAATATATATATATATATATAAAAAAGGATTGCCTTGTCAAAACTTTTGATTTCTATTTTTGTCCTTTTAAGTTTGATAATTCTCAAATATGCCATTAATTATTCACTAATTATACATAACATCTTATTAATTATACATTTCCTCAATTTTTTCAAAACTTTTGGTCACACTACTATTTTATTATTTAATTATATTATTTAATAGAAAATTTAGTATTTATTCCTAATTTATCTTCACATAATATTTAAAATTCTAGAAAAATTAAAAAATAATAAAAATTCATTAGGCTTATGCCTTACAACTTAGGGTTTCACCTCTTATGAAGGACTACCTGTTATCTTACATCTTATTAGTCTTTCAAAAATATGATAATAGTATGAAAAATAATTTACATTTATTATAATTATAATAGTATTAATAATATAATAATTTTAGTAATATATTTTAATTAATAAATTACATTGTAATTTAGTAATTATATAATTTAGTAAATTATTTACTTATAGTGTAATAAACTAATTATTAAATTAAAATGTAGTTACTAATAGTCTTATAATTATGCCAAGTATAATATTATATATATATTTAAAAGAGGAAAAATTATTTGATATATTATAATTGTTTTAATAAATTATGAATAAATTATAATAATTATCCAACTATTATTGATCATACAGTTATTTATATACAGTTTTATCGTATAATTTATTCATTTAAATAAAATTGTAATTGTTCAGAATTTATACTGCTATACAAGTCATTTCATTTTTTTATAACCAACAAAAAAATTTGAAAAAATAAAACATGTATGCTTTCATGGCAAAGTATGTGCACTTATATATATATTATATATATATATATATATATATATATATTATATTATATTAATATATATTAATATATAACGCGTAGAGAACTAAAAACCAATCTGAACCCTACATTCTATTTCATCCAATGGTCAAGATTGAAAATGGCAAAATTGAAATTAAATACACATCAGCTGACAAAATAACCGTAAAAGGGGTAATTTAGGAAAAGCGGCATTAATGACACACGCTGTAATTAATTAACAGAACTGTCGAACACTTCTCCCGACGAAAAAACAATTCAGTTTCCAGTTTCATCTTCTCTTTACCCCAAGAACTAAACTATTCGCATTCCGTCGATTTCTCAACATTTAGGTTTCTTTCAACATCTCGTTATAACTCGAACGAAGACGACCAGCAAGAATTCGTCGATAGAGATGAAGAAAAACAACACAGAGACTCCAAAACTCTCGTCTTCAAGAACAGGTAAAATGATTCCACATATGAAGTTTAATGAGATTGATATGGTAAAGATTAGAATACAATGTTTTTGTTCTTTAGCCCAATTTTAACTATATCTGTAAAATCTCTGATTAAATTTCACAACAAATAGGTCTTCTTCCCCATAAATGCGTTTGAGCATTTCTACATTGTATGCTATGGGCTAAAGAATCCAAGTATGGAGTTGATTGACAATAGCAAAAACTGCCCAGACTACAAGAAAAAATACCAAGGTCGTCCTGAGTGTTTGGTATTTTTTTTCCACCTTACGTATGTTCTTTAAACATTTACTGGTAAAAAACAGTAATGAGTGAATCCGGATTCACTATAGTGAATCTGGAATTCAATAGAGTCAGAGAATTCCAGATTAGCTAACTCTAGTGAATCTCGATCACTATAATTAGTGAATCTGGATTCACATTTACTATAAAGCTCAATTCACTAGAGCTAGTGAATCTGTGTTCACATCACGTAATAACGATCCACTAGCTATAACTAGTGATCTGAAATTTTGATCACGAGAGTTAGTGAATCTGGATTCACATCTTACTATGAATCTCGATTCAATATAGCTAGTGAATCTGTGTTCACATCACATAATCACTATGCACTACCTATAGTTAATTCTAATGAATCCAGATTCACTAATATGAATCCAGATTCATTAGAGTAAGTCCAGGTGAACTAACTCTATTAAATTCTAGCGAGCTAGATCCAATGAATCGTGATTCAATGTCATTAATACTGTTTCCATATAAACAACCAAAACAAATTGTATATTACATTAAACATTACTGTATAATAATTTGGATTTGTTATGTGACATTGATTACTTTTGATTAAACAGCACCACAATTTTGTGAGATATTTGGCATACAAAAAACATCACAAGGCGAGTGAAATAAATACATTAACGCCTGACAGACTTGAGATGGAGTGGAGAACGGCCAAAAACAAATTTGATTGTGCTATTTTTGTCATGAGACATATGGAGACCTACATAGGCGGTGGTACAGCAAATTGGAACTCTGGTTTTCATAGAGAAGGTGTAAGTGTTTAAACTAATAATGTGTTGATAATTTACATTTAGTCTTTTTGAATTAATAAAATTTAGAATATAGCTACTGAATATTGAACTGAACTTTTATTCATATCGACAGGAGCGATTAAAAAATCAGCTACATAGACTGAGGTCTATATACTGTTGCCAAATTCTTACTGAACCAACAAATGAATTGGCCAAAGAAGTCATCAGGAAAGCCCAACTGCACCATGCTGAAACTGCCAAATTCAAAAAAGAGACGAAGAAGATCACAAGATCTCAAAGAAAATGATATTCTGAAATCAACAGAGAGTTTCAATGTTGAAGTTTACAGTTATTGAGTACATTGTCACTTAATGTTATGGAATACTCTAGTTTGTGTTGAACTGCTTTTCTATGTAAATATACTTTATAACAATAGCTTTGTCATAGTTTTATTTCGGATTATATGAAAATACTGTGAAGGTAGTGAATGCTAATGGAAGAATTTCGATTACAGCATAGAATGTGAGTTATAATTCAAGCTTTTATGTAACATACAATAAATTGATCATACTTATTGTGGATTGTATGTATTTAATCTTGGATCACTGTTTCAATATTATCTTAAGTTATTATCTTAAGTTTCACTAATTTGTTGAATCTGGATTCACTTTGCTAAATCTCAATACATTTGGTTCAATCTTGGTTCACTGTAGTGAATCTAGATTCACTTTAGTGAATCTCGATTCACTAAAGTGAATCTAGATTCACTTAAAATGAATCTCGATTCACTACAGTGAAACACTATTGACTGCAACTATAGTGAATCCAGATTCAATAAAGTGAATCTCGATTCACTACACTAAAAAATTCAGTAAGTCAATATTATCTTAGTCACTACACTATAGTGAATCCATATGCAGATCATTGAATCCAGATTCACTACAATGAATCTATATTCATTATAGTTAGTCCAGAGTCACTATTATCTTAGTCACTACACTATAGTGAATCCATATGCAGATCATTGAATCCAGATTCACTACAATGAATCTATATTCATTATAGTTAGTCCAGATTAACTTAAACCGAAACAATCAAGTAATTTGATTGTTTGATTGATTATAAAGAATCCCTATAGTGATTAAAAATTCAGTAAGTCAATATTATCTTAGTCACTACACTATAGTGAATCCATATGCAGATCATTGAATCCAGATTCACTACAATGAATCTATATTCATTATAGTTAGTCCAGAATAACTTAAACCGAAACAATCAAGTAATTTGATTGTTTGATTGATTATAATGAATCCCTATAGTGATATCGAAATTCAATATCAGATAATCTAGATTCACTGCGATCAATCTAGATTCAATATAGTTAGTCCAGAATCGCTTAACGCGAATTAAATTCAAACTGATGACTGCATACAACGACTTTATCATACCTGCTTAAATAATACAACTAATAATAATGGAATTCACATGCTATATGAGTAGATCTCAATTCAATATACTAACATGACACAATGTAACCATGTAATTAATAATCTAGTAAATATATATAGTTAAGAATTACACAATTCAGCAATTTTAATAAGAAATGTATTCCTAAAAATGATTCTGTAACGAATTATGACAACTAAATTAAACATCACTCTGCTGTATTGTTTTCTTTAATGGGCATGTCCGTGCGTCATGGAAATCGATTTTTTTGCACATATTACACAGCCTTGGCACCTTTTTCTTTCGTTGAGTAATTGATTTCTCATAATCACCAACAATTCTCCGTCCACACCCCTTGTTTCTACCTTCAATGGGAGGTTTAACGATCACTTCCGCTGGTATTTTTGAGCCAACAAAAAACTCCATTACATCATTTTTGTTCTGTGTGTCAAATTTCCAACTAGATTCACGCAAACTGTGCTTCAACTCCTTCAACTTCCCTTCCAGGTAGTCAAGTCTCTCACCATCTAAACCTGCCAAACTCACACAGGATTGGAAATCATACCATATGTCATTCAACTTGCGATTTGTAACTTCAATTGCATTGCACTGTTCTGATATTTCCTTGAACTGCAATGAATGCCTCATCTCAGCACCTTTTGTCCATCGGTTCACAACAAGATGTCTTGGTATTTTTGTTACATCAGCTTGGTTCAGTGCAAAAAAACCATGCCTACATACTATACCCATTTTCTCAAACAGCCTACACGTACATTGCACGTCATTGTTCAAGTAAGCGTGTTTCACCTAAAATTCAAAAAACAATGTATATTAGCACCGAGTAAAAAAAGAAAAAGACAAGTACATGAAATGGTAACTGAATCGCGATTCAGTATAGTGAATCGCGATTCAGTATAGTGAATCGCGATTCAGTATAGTGAATCGCGATTCAGTATAGTGAATCGCGATTCAGTATAGTGAATCGCGATTCAGTATAGTGAATCGCGATTCAGTATAGTGAATCGCGATTCAGTATAGTGAATCGCGATTCAGTATAGTGAATCGCGATTCAGTATAGTGAATCGCGATTCACTATACTGAATCGCGATTCACTATACTGAATCGCGATTCAGTTACCATTTCATGTACTTGTCTTTTTCTTTTTTTACTCGGTGCTAATATACATTGTTTTTTGAATTTTAGGTGAAACACGCTTACTTGAACAATGACGTGCAATGTACGTGTAGGCTGTTTGAGAAAATGGGTATAGTATGTAGGCATGGTTTTTTTGCACTGAACCAAGCTGATGTAACAAAAATTCCAAGGCATCTTGTTGTGAACCGATGGACAAAAGGTGCTGAGATGAGGCATTCATTGCAGTTCAAGGAAATATCAGAACAGTGCAATGCAATTGAAGTTACAAATCGCAAGTTGAATGACATATGGTATGATTTCCAATCCTGTGTGAGTTTGGCAGGTTTAGATGGTGAGAGACTTGACTACTTGGAAGGGAAGTTGAAGGAGTTGAAGCACAGTTTGCGTGAATCTAGTTGGAAATTTGACATACAGAACAAAAATGATGTAATGGAGTTTTTTGTTGGCTCAAAAATACCAGCGGAAGTGATCGTTAAACCTCCCATTGAAGGTAGAAACAAGGGGTGTGGACGGAGAATTGTTGGTGATTATGAGAAATCAATTACTCAACGAAAGAAAAAGGTGCCAAGGCTGTGTAATATGTGCAAAAAAATCGATTTCCATGACGCACGGACATGCCCATTAAAGAAAACAATACAGCAGAGTGATGTTTAATTTTGTTGTCATAATTCGTTACAGAATCATTTTTAGGAATACATTTCTTATTAAAATTACTGAATTGTGTAATTACATTTTTGTTTTTTTCCCCTTTTTCTTAAAATTTTTTTTTTAAAAATATCGTCACTTGCCAAATTGATAGAGTTATGTAATAATTGATTTATTTGATAAATTTGAAATTTTCTAATCCCTAGTTAGTTATTTACTTAAGTTCACCTTTTATGATAACTCTAAATAAATTTCTTAAGAAATGATTTTCAAAGTAGTATACTTTACTTAAGCCTTAACTTGGACTTTTATTTAAAATAATGAAATTTTTGCATGCTTAACTTAGAGTTGAAAATAATTTTTTTCAAAGTGTCTTGATTTACATATTTTCAAAATATATATACATATACAAAAAAAAATTGCAAAAGAAGAGTGCGAAAAATGGGCACCAAAAAGAAAAAAAAACTCTTTAATTCAAGGTGATTCTATCTTATTAAGCCTAAGCTGACCGAGTAATTAAGCCCAAGGAGTATTTCCATACTTAATGACCTAAGCCCATTTGGGTTGGGATCCATTGGCCCAAAACTCGTTAAATGGTCACTTAGAAAGCCCGTTAAAGTAGAAAAAAAATCACCAAGGATGAAAGAGTTTTAAAAAATAATAAAAAAATAAAAAATAAAAAATTTAATAAATGTTTTATAGTTGTATATATGGTCTTGGAAAATATTTTAAATCAAGCAACTTGAAAATTATTTAAAACAAAGAGTTAGCATGTTCTTTTCAAAACTTTTAAATTAAATTTCTAAGTTTGGCTTGGTTTTGTATTGCTACAATGAGAAGATTTTCTTAAAAATATACCTTAGAGTTATATATAAAAATGTTTTCTTGAGTGATAACTGGCTCCAATTAGATTATCTAAAAGTTATCAAGTGAATTTAGTTATTTACTGACTTCTTTAATTTGGCAAGTTGACCGAATTTTGTGGGTATATTCACTGCAAACCCTCACGAGACTACAACTCGTCCACTAGGGTAACCTAGGGGTTTAAAGGCTTGTTGTATGCGCTAAATACAACCGCGATTCCTGCGAAAGTGAGTTAGGATTTTCTTTTTATTTTCTTTGCTAGAGGACTAGCAAAAGTTTAGGTTTTGGGGTACTTGATAATCACATTTTATTACAATTTTATACCCTCATTATCTATTTTATATGAATAAATATACTACTAATAATTGTTTTTATCTTTAATTGCAGGTTAATGAAGAATAAATCTCAAAACCCTCATCTCTCAACAAAAAGCCCATAATTTAATGAAGAAATGAAGCCATGAAGCCCAATGAATTCTTTCAAGTATTTAAATGAAGAAATAAATCAAAGCCCAAGCCCAAGAGTCCAAGAAAAGCCCAATGTCCAAAGCCCAAAAGCAAACAACAAGAAGAATCTGCGGACAACAAAAGGAGAAGGGCATGCATCGATGCCTGCATCGATACCGACATCGATGCCTGCATCGATGCCTGTATCGATGCCTGCATCGATACGCTGGGCAGTCTGTTACGAATCTAAGGCTGAAATTTGTTGTTTTTGGATAAGATTTCAATCCAATGGCTCTCATTCACTGATGTTTACTATAAATAGGGGTAGAGAGTGAGGGGTTAGAGGTGTGAAAATTTTGTAAACTCCTTTTGGAGAGGAGGGCTACTCTTAATTGAGAAGGCCTTCCAAAAATTGTAACTTTAGTTGCAATTAATAATAATAATTTTTTCACCACTTTAAATATTTCTTCTCTTTGTTGGATGATGAAGATGGAGATGAAGAATTATTTAGAGGTTTGCATTTTCTTTCCTTTTTCTCTTTTATTTCCTTTTTATTGCTTATTAGTGTAGATTTATTTCTATGCTTGTAGTTTAGATTTTATTTTCTTGTTAAATAGCCAAGAGGCTAGAACCCTCTTGCCTTAGATTTATTTCATGCTTATAGAATAGATTTAATTTCTTGCATTTAATTCTTGCAATTTTATTTTGTAGTTTAGATTTTGCAATTTATTTTGTAGTTAGATTTTAATTTCTTATACTATTCACCTTGAGGCTAGAACCCTCTTGGGTTTAGTTTTTCTTTTTGTTTATTTTTATTTTGTTTGATTCGCCTTTAGGCTAGAACCCTCTAGGGAATCACCCTTTTCTAAGAAGTGGGTTCAATTGTAGATTACCCATATCTATAATTGAATCCACCATCTTTAATTTCTTGCATTTTCTTTTATTCTTGAATTTTATTTTCTTTATTCTTGATTTTTATTTTCCTTTTCCTTCTTGCCTTATTGATCATATTCATTCTTTGTCACATCCACTCTCACTTATATCTCGTGCCGATTTACACACTATCACTTCCACTCTCTCTATCTCTCCACAATCACATTCACTTATCACTCCTACTTGTCACACACACAACATAAGAACCGATTTTATATTTTCTCCTACAAAACACCTTCCTCGTGGGATCGATATCTTAAATACTATAACTTGACACGGTTGTGCACTTGCAACCTTTTTGGTACATGTTTATGCCGCATCAAGTTTTTGGCGCCGTTGCCGGGGAAGGTGCTTAAGTAGGTTTTAATTATTTTGGTTCTTTAACTTGTGTGTTTTTTGTGAAGGAAACGCTTGGAGCTTGAAGATCGCGGATTGGAGAGCTAGGATTTGAAGATTTGCTTTCGGGTAAGTCCTCTTTCTAGTTTTTAATTACACCATTTAGCTACTTCTTCACAATTAGAGACAATTAGGACTTAAAAAAAAGAGATTTTATTTTTTGTTGACCATAATAAAATTCATCATCCACTTTGATATTTACTAACAAGATAATAAATTCAAACAAATCCCCCCTTCTCATTTGTTTGATTGTTAACCCTAATTAAAATAAAAGATTTTTCTTTTTCATCCTTTTTAGTTGCTTTTAATTCATAGGGTTGCATTTCATATAGTGTAGGAATTCACCAAGTGATTTGAGCATCTTGATTTGACACACACTTAAAAATATTTTTAAAGGCAAAACCCCATAATCAAGATAAGGTGAGGGATTTCATCACCCTTTCCTTAGCCCAAAAATCACTAATTCCTCACTACACCACCCAAGCCTAATAAAAACTCATTAGACGTTGGACCCTAAGGATTCGAGCTCAATAAGGAACAAGAAATCCTTAAGTGAACCGGTTTAAGTTTTCTCAGATTAGTTGGTGTCTAAGGCAAGGTTTAGGGGTTGCGTAAAGCGCTCCGCAAGGAAAGAGGTACTTAATTGATCTTTGATCACCCTCTAGTACTATCCTTACCTGGCTAACTACCTGGGTAAAACTTTGATCTTTTCACTGTAGGAGTTTTTGGTTAGGAGCTGGTCTAGTTGAGTTAGGCTAAACCCTAGAATTAGAGTTGATTGAAAAGTGATTATTTTGATTTGTTTCAGTTAGGATTTTTCTTTTTCTTTATCTTCTCAAAAAAAAAAAACTAATTTTCTTTCTTTTCTTTTAAAAAAAATAAAAAAATAAAAATAAATATTTTGGTGTATGCAACAGTGGATTAGGGATAATACACATCGATTAATTTGCTTTGAACCAATCA